TAGAATTGCCGTAAGATCGGTCGACAAGGGAAGAATACCCCTCGAGTCCCCTCTTTTTTGCAGAAAAGTTTTCATTTTGAGCTGAATATAGCCTAATGTGGAGGGAAGTTGCGGTACATAATGAGACCACTGCCAGCTCTCCATGACGTTCCTTGAAAAAATTATGAAGTTTTTAATTTTCTCATTTAAAAGCTAGAAAATCTCGATTTTTTAGGTTTGTAAATTTTTCTCTCCTTTCCTGTATATTCAGAATATTTTCTTACACATAGCATGATAGAAGAAAGTGTTTTCTTCAAAATGAGATGTCTTCCAAAAATTTTCGATGAGTTTTTGTGGAGATCTAAACATCGCTGCAAATGCTCTGAAAAACACATGCCTATGTAAAGTGTGTTTTTGTCGTTATGCGTTTTTCTGTCAGTCCTTTCAATCCAGTCACGTTACGACCTCTCGAAAAAACGGTCCAATCGAGCTTAAATTTTTACCACAGATGCTTCAGACTCTATCTCAGGTTCAAAATTTTTTTTAAGCGTTTATGACTTCAGTTTTTGGTGTGGAAAGGTTTTTAAAATCAAAAACCGTTTTTTTTATAAAGAATTTTTAGCATTTTTCCAATATCTCAAGAAGTAAAGCATATAAAATAAAAATTTTTAACCTGAGATAGGACCTAAAGTATCTGTGACAAAAATTTGAGCTCAGCCGGACCATTTTTTTGAGGGGTCGTAATGTCACTAGATGAGAAGTGCAGTTTTCCATAAAACTCATAAAATAACATGTCAGAAAATTCTGAGCAAAAATACACCGATTTTCTTTTTCTATTTTCTATTTCACCTATAAATTTAAGCTCAATTGGACGTGTGCTCCGCATTTGGCAACAAGGTGAAAAAAGAGGGAGGGATACCCTTTATTCATCAAAATCAATCGGAAATGACCTGTTTCAGTTGTGGAACATTAGAAAAAGGTAGATTGACGCATTTTATAAAAGTATCACGTTAAGTGTTTCAAGTCGACTCTTACCTCGGTGGTCAAAGAATGATTATTAAATTGTTTTATTAAATTTTTAATGCCACTGTTGAATACAAATCGATTAATTAATGAACGTAGCCAACCGTAGCTATTTTCCTCTGTCAATGGTTGAAATGTTAGTATTGTTTCATCATCAAGTTTATCTTCAAATTCTTCGTAATCATATGGTTTCAGTCTGTGTTTAGTTTGAAATTCATTATTACAATCAAATATTATGGACAAAGTTTCTAATAACTGAATTGGTACTGGTGGTGAATATGATAAACGAATGGCTACAAGATCTATGAACAATTTTAATATTTCATAAACATGATTTTGTATAGTTTCTGGCCATGTGTCCACTGCATCATCACACTGTATCTGTCAATTTACAAAAGAAAAAGGTCAGATAAATTAAATTATGTAAACTAATTTTCTCTTACTTTTTTAAATGCGTTAGGTATATAGACTTCTAGAAAACGTTTACAAGACTTGTCCAATTCCGCGGTGTGACCGTCATTGATAAGTTCTATAGTTGATTGAAGGCATTTTTCCAATTCGTCACCGGGAAATACCTTTACTACCCAACGAGGACGTTCTATTTCTTGTTCGAGTATCAAAAGCAGCGCTGTAGGAAAATTACTGGAAATATCAGTTGTCATTGGCGTATGTGATGACAATGAGGATTCTATATCAGATAAGTACCGTAACTTATCTTTAAAAATAAAAATAAAAATGATCAAATTTATGAGAAGAATGTTGATATAGTCCGACTCACATCCTAACGGTAGTTTTGCAAGATGAAAACATGTTGGTAAAATTCACCTTTTATACCATTTTTTCAACAACGATTTACTTATTACGCAATGAAAATAAAATACTTTTATCGTTTTGACTGACGCTTTACAAGCAATATGGAATTGCACCAAATATGTTGTAGTTTCGCAATACAGACTTACTATTGCATGAGTCATCAAAGGTGATGTGTCACATTTCCAAGTAGCTACCTGAAACTTTGTTTTTTCCCACTATCGCTTATAAATTATGCAGAACTGCTCTGTCCTTATGTTTTTAAGAAAAAGTTATAAAAACCTGTTATAAGGTCAGGATGACAACCAAACTCTAAATTGCACAGCTAATAAAAATGTTATTAATAGAAAAGATCGCTTTCAGCAAACTTCTGTCTTTATGAGTTTTTATTGAGTATTTTTAAAAGATGACGCGTAATCAGCCAACAAACAAAGAAATTGATTGTAGCAGATACATCATACAGACGACAAGTCATCAAAGTAATTAGTAAACCGCTGCAATCCAAAGAGAAAAAAGTTCGTCCAGATATTGAAATTTTAACTGTACCAACGTCGCCTACGGCAGTAGGCGGCCTTGGTTAAAAATTAAAATCCCTATATCTCGGTCAAATTTCATGCTGACTCAAGGAAACTTCCTGGAAACGCTCAAGGCAGCTCATGAATCATAATCGAAGACGAAAAAACGTGAATTTCAGCTGGGCATTGGTTCAAGAGTTTCCAGAAATCTTCTGCAAAACCTGAAAGCCTCAGTGTTCTGCTGCGCCGCTTTTTCAACATGATCAACAATATATGACGCATTTTAAGTCTTTCCTGAAAATTTCCTTGAGTTAGTATGAGATTTGATTGAGATACAAGGATTTTAATATTTGTTGGTAACAGGCGAAAAACCGTTTTTTCACAAAAATGCCTCTACGAAGTTATTTTCATATCTGCACAAAAACAAATGCTGCCACTATGCTCAGCGTAGTCGATTACCTCTATTCCATGACATTTCGACATTCCCACAGATGTCTGCTCGGAGATAGACACGTGCTCAGAGAAAGCGAGCTCTATCCGAACGACGCTAACTGTAGAGCTGGGACCTGCGTAATTTTGTAGAGTAACAATCGAACTGTCTATGCATGTAAAAAAATTACTAACTGTTTATGTTAGTTTTCTGAGAATGGAGCTGATTTTCCAAAGATCCTCTAGAAAATCGGACTTCCAGAAAATTTTCACGAAGTTCCTGCTGACAAAAATATGTCTTAAGGTCTTAGCAATATGATGGTGGAAACCGCAGTTCTCTATCTCATTCTTATCAAGAGTTATTCAAAATAAACTCACAAGCACGTTTTTTTGGTATGGATAATAATTAGAGAATCATTACAAATCATAGCACGTAGTTCAGATCTAAATTCCACAACTAGATCTGTTCCTCTGGTTAGATTTCCAGTGGGTAGTGTCTCTCCTAGTCGAAAAGAACAGACAAAGTCAAAAGAAAATGACTACACTACAACAGTCAAAATTTATTTTTTCTGTTAGATACACTAGTGTGCAATTACTATCAGTTTACCCCTCCTCCCTCTTTATTCACCTCGTTGCCAAATGCGAAGCACACGTCCAATTGAGCTTAAATTTATACGTGAAATAGAAAACAGAAAAAGAAAATCGGTGTATTTTTGCTCAGAATTTTGTGACATGATCTTCTATGGATTTTATGGCAAACTCGAATTTTCATCCAGTCACATTATGACCCCTCGAAAAATTGGTTCGATCGACTTTTTAGGCGAAGATTCTCATTTCCTTCTAACTTCCACAGTCAGAAGATATTGTTTAGAATCTGAACTTGAATTACGTCTCCAATATGTATACTTCTTCACACTTTTACATGAAGGTATAGTCATATTTACTATCCTTATCTTCATGCATGTTTTGCATTATTTCTTCAAACAAATATTTACATTTCTTTCTCACGAGTTCCATCAGCCAAAAATGATGTGATACTCATTTGTTATCTGCATGAATACAAATTGACAGTTGATCCACGTTAAAGCGATCAAGCTTATTTCTAGAGATAAGTTAACCCTGTCTCAGAATTATTCAGAGCAGAGATGTCCTAGAACATTATTTTTTCCTAACACTACTTCTGAAGAAAAAGTAATATGTCTGTACAATATCTGAATGTTCTGGTGACCCATTAGTATTAGTAAGGTTCTCTCAACCACACAACATCTCAAACTTTAATAAGCATAATGCGTCAGAAACGCTAATGTTTGGTTAAATGGAATCGATAGTTTTTACCACCTAATTCTACAAAATGTACGATGCAATTAGAAAATCCAAGGTGATAACATATAGCAACCTAGGTTGGAGGAGATATAGAAGAAGAAAAAGAATTTAGTATTTCAATTTTATTACATTTTATGAGTAATATTATACGCGTCGTTATTGATTTCTGGTATGATCAATCTTTTTTATAAAACGATATAATTCTGACTGTCTTGACAATACGTCTGCTATAAAAGAGTTGATATATAAGAAGAATCGCTATGTTGGGAAGGACACGAGCGGGTAAGCAATGACATCGGTCCATAATAATATTGAAAAACAATTATACGATCGTAATCAACATCAAATTCTGAACAAAATACCGCATTTAGTTTTTCAAAATATCGACTTTCATTTTTTTCGAAAACTTTTAGCCTCTATCGAACACCGAAACAATTTTTTACTCAGATTCCTTTAAAACATACATCATTAAATTAAGAATTTGATGCTGATTACGAATATCAGGTTAATTTTAGACACAAGGCATAATCCTACAACGAAAACCAAACTTTTTTCTTTATCTAAACAAAGAGGGGTTACCTTTAATTTTCTCCGACAGCGCACATTAGGATTCGACAATATATACACCATTAGATAGAGTAGGCCTTCCTCTACCTCTTAAACTAAGCTAATTTCAAAAGTAAGACACATATCTAGAGATAATAATTATGATAACGAGCGTATTTTTGAGTATACAGAAAGTATTGTAGCAGCAGCTAGAAAACTATACACAACTACTATTCGTGAAAACCTATATTACGTAATTTTATTAACAAACAAAATCTTCTGTCGGTTAACAAACAACAAAAATTCCGAAAATAAGCAACAGAAAAGATTAAAGTGCTAATCGACTAACCGAAACAAAAAAAATAGAAAGAATTTTTATAGTTTAATAGTGAAAGAAAAGATATAAGTTTCAAAACCTTAATCTTCCAAAGATAACATGTTTAGTAAAGTGTCGTCTTCATTAAGATAGGTAGAAACATGAACCGTCTCGTCTTTTTTCCGCTTTCGTATCGAACAAAACACAACATCCTTCTGCATATATCATCTATTGGAGCAAATTAAATGTTGATGATCAATTCATTGTTTGACTACCATGACTTTCCGGCTTCCTCTTTGGGTCACAGTAGCAAATCTTCCACTCGACTTCATTGTACTTTGTATGCTTTCGAAGTTTTCTAAAAGATGTTCTCTTTTATGTATGGGAAAAGAGAGATAACGCTCTAGTAACATCAATAATTGAAATATACCCCTGGAAAGCAAAAGCTGAATTCAGTATTTGAGCTCTTTTGATACCATAAAAGGATGTTTTGAGAAAAGTGAATATACATTAGACAGCGGTTGAATTGTTGTACAAAACTGTGTATTTCGATTTTATCTTGACTTCATATATTG